GTGTGTGTGTGTGTGTGTGTGTGTGGTGTGTGTGTGTGTGTGTGTGTGTGTGTGTGTGGTGGGGGATAAGGTGGGCGTGTGTGTGTGTGTGGGGGGGGTGTACCTAACTTGAGGATTAAGAAACTGACGGTTGAAATGCGTAATCGTGCAAGTCATTAAACTGCAAAAATGATCTTGTGTATATCTTCGAAATTAACATCGATAATACCACGGCTTGATTTTTTTTTATAAAATTAAATTATTTGGGTTTCTTGCATTTTATACAATAGGGCTATCGCACACTTTCGTTAAGATTCCATGATTCTAATACAGAAGCTCAAAGTTTTAGGATTCCATATAAAAAAAGACACTTGCTTTCTGGTAGTCGTAACATCTCCATGTGGTGCAGTACAAAGATTGACGGTTGTTTCGCAATGTTTAGAAAACTCTGCAAATCGAGAAAACTTAAATGGACGTCGTACGTCACACAAGTAAACTACAGCTACTTTAGTGTGCATAAAGCTCTCAACAACTCCTTGAAAGTGATAGATTGATTTCTGAAAGGATTCGCAAACTTCACACACCTGGGTGTTCAGAAATAGCAAATATTTTTTTAGAAAACGGTGGAGCGCTTCGGAGAGGATTTCAAGTATCCGTTTTCCTCATCGAGTTGTGTTCCACCTGACTTATGAATTGTAGCAGAGACCACAACAGATCGTAAAGTGAATTTTTTAAAGAGAACGACTTGGTATGTGGAGGAATAGCTGAGCATTTATCCTAAGTGAGAGATCAAAGATAACCAATAGTTTAGGAAATTACGCGTAATGGACACTTGACAAAATGTTGACTTCAAAAGATTTCTGAGAGGCGCTTAAATCCTGTGTGCCGCGGTAGTACAACAAGCGGTATGATTTTTATACCAAAATTTGTGTGGTCTACTTGGAACACTTTTTGATACCAGTTTGTAGTTAAACTGAAAAATTTGGACAAACAACTAGATAAAAAGATAAAGTAAGCATAAAGTTATGGTAATAATTAAAAAAATAAATGAATAAATAAATAGGTAAACTGTCATGCAAGGAGAAAAATAAATAAATAAATAAATAAATAAATAAATAAATAAATAAATAAATAAAGCAGTTTAATATATTTTATCAAACTAAAATAACCTAAAATCTTATCCATTATTATGATGGAGGTGAGAGAAAGAGGAAAAGTCAGGAAAATGGTAGGCAGAGCATATGCCCAAGAAGTATCTATTTAATTTCTTGTTGTTTTCTCGTAATCAGCGCTACCTGTAATAGTCCTCTTTGCAATAAATACTGCCGTCTTTAGCGAAGCAGGTCAGCTCCGAGTCCAGCCGAAGTTGACAGTCGCTGCACGTTAAACAATGCACGTGCCACTGTCTATCTGCCACCAACAGGTAATATCTGTCCACGATCCTTCCGCCACATCCGGCGCACGACCCCGGCTCTGCTTCCGCGTTGATGACTGGCATCACCTGAAATAATTAAGAAAGAGAAAAAAATATTCAGGTGCGCTGATTGTTTTCTTCGGGGCGTTAATTAGTGCTAATAAGAATTGTAAAATTTGCAACGTGAAATGATGCGAGTCTTGGTGCTTCATGGGATTGTTTGCACCCAGTGACCCTCTATTCAGGATTAGAGAGTTAAGGTAGAAGGATATGACAGCTGAAGGATCTGAAGAGAATAAACTGAATAGATTAAAATTCTGTTTATCAAAAAAAGCAAATATACATATATATCACGAGAGAAAAATCAACATTTTGATATCGCCTGTTGAAAAGCGCACTGAACAGAAGATGAACATGTACAAACCACGCCAACCAAAAATAAACAGTGATGAACGATAAAATATATTTACACTTCTATTAATTTTGCTTTATGTCTCAAAGTATATTATCTATGTCATTATGGAAAGAAAAATGAAAAAAAAGGAAAGGAAAAGGCGATGACTAGAGAAGCAAAAATAAAAAAAGCTTAAAGATAAAGATGATATCCTTCGTGAATAATTGAAATTTCTGTAAGTAAGAATGCTCAGCGAGAATTGCAGAACATTAAATATTATCAGTTTATTAACTGTTCCTCGTTCCCACGCGTCTAATCGATTTCGACCTTTAAGCGATTTCTTCTTACAGTAAAGCAATAATCTATAATCCAAGTATAGCATGCAATGAGGGTTACTCCGCCTATAATACACGAACAGCGGGTACCGCGAGGTGAGAACTCCCCACAGGAAGCGGGAGCTGAACGACTTCTTCAAACTGATGCGCTATTGTTGGTACATAACGCTCCACAGTGGCAAGAACAACTTATAGAAGGGGTGGCTCGGTGCGACCGCAGCGTTCTTGGCGTATTCTTAGTTCAGATTACGTAACAAGACAATCTGTTCTAACGCGCACGTGCGCTCGAGAGCTCAACAAGATCGCGACGGAAATAAAACCGCGCGGATTGGGAGGAAGAAATGAACTGGGAAATAACACCTTAGGAGACTGAGAGAGACTTCATGTGAAATATTTGTTGTTAAGTTGGTCCAGGATCAAATCATGACAGCTACCGTTAATACTATTGACGTAAAATGATTAAGTTGCATATAAATGTACAGATTTGAGACATTAATACACGGAATGTGTTTCCAAGTATTAGTCAATCGAGCTTTTAAACTGAAAATATTATTTCCTATTTATCAAATGCATGTTTTCAATTTTTGTTTGCTTCTTTGTTCTACTTGTCGTTCTCTTTATTGAACACCACCTCTTTCTAGATTTTTCCTACACGTAACAGTTGCTTTTTATTCTGGAAATAAATATGAGGGTTACTCCATGAGATCCAGCTTGCTTGGAAACAAATGCAATTTTTGTTTATACTCAGTTTCTTCTTAATTACGTTTGCGCCAATACATTTGGCGTGTTAACATTAAGATACTGCTTTTTAACGTATGTTTTGATATCGGGGCCTTTAGCAAACATAGAAGAATTAAATACAAGTACACTGTATACAAAATATCTGGGACTGGTACTGAAATACGTTTGCACAGAGGAGAAAAATAAGTCGGAAAAATTAGCTTTCAGAAAAGATAAATGCTTCAACTGTTGACTTTATATCAGGCAGGTAAAACAATTTAATAAAATGATTAAAAAAAATAAAGTTAACACAAAAAGAAAATAAACAAATAGAGAATGACAGAAAATTGAGGTTCATCAGCGCAGTTTTATTATGTGCGAAGACTTATTTTTGTTTAAGTGCCCATTAGTTTAAACACATTTCCTTTACCCAGTAGTAAAACTTATTATATAAAAACGAAACTTCGAGATGTCATGCTTAAATTTCTCATTCCATTTCATGAGGGCCGTCTACGCAGTTGTCGCATTTCTTCCCGCGTCTTTTGAGTGATAAAGTCCATATTCCGTAAAACGAGTTAAATGAAGTAGATCGATTTAAACATACTTGTTCAACTATTTGTGCAATTTTAAACCCATACGTGTAATTTACATATGTTAACTAATTGCTTCGTTAAGCATTCAAACAGATAATTCTAATTACAACATTGACTAATTACGACATAATTGTTTTCTTCTGTACGATTTCTTCATATGATTATCTGTAAAAAATATTCCCCAACAAAGGGATGTTTACTGAAGCGTACATCAGATTTGCAGTCGGCGTGTGTGCTGGGGGCTTGTCCTGTCAAGATGCACACGTGCGCGTTTCCAAAATGTCTGCGGGCACTCTTCCGCTCGCATTATAGATTTCTCAAACACAATATGCGTATCTCCCTCATCTGAAAACACTTTCACTTTGTCAAATCCGTGTCTGAAAACAAAGGCCGACAATACGCAGAAGAGAAGTATGCGAAAATTCACACCTGAAATATCGAGCACACTGTCCAAGGAAAATATGTTTGGTACTTGAGGAGGACTAGAGTATAAACATATTATTGGGGAGGATAAACACCACCAACTGTCTAGAACATCTTCCACCCAGTCTAGCTAGGAAAACGCCCCCACCTGTGCTTTTAAAGCGTTTATGTAACAACATTTAATCGTGCGCAACTGTTAAATCTATGTTTTAATACTACAGGCTTTTCTTAAAACCCTTCCGATATTCACTCTCCATCGCGTAATCGAATTAACGATAAATACAGAGACTGCCGTTATTTCAATTAACAAATACGGCGAGGCAGAAGCTGCTTTGGCTATCCATAGCCCCTGGCCCTATGTTATATATGTGGGCCCAGATCATGGATAAGAGGTTTGCTAAGTTAGTTGGCTTGAAGAGACCTAATGAAGCAGGACCACTCCAAGACACTTTCCACGCAGAAAAAATATTCAAAACATCACATGATTGAAGCGTACAGTTAATGTTCCTATTTGTCTCCATTATCAACTTTCGAGGCGAATAAAAAGATTGCTGCAACACTTCAAACTCCATGAAACTCCCACCAGCAATTAAATCAATGTAGGATATGCATTTTAATTGGCTAGCAATGCATTAAAAGAATCTGTCGCATTTAACACCATGAATTTTAAATGTTATGATATGAATATTCATCACCTATTCTGTCATATTTACCGCACAATTCAACACAATATGATAATGACTCATTTGTTTGCCAAACTCATAGAAAAATAAACATTGGGTCTACAAATTTTTCGGCTTGAAATGTTGGCAACAATGTATTAATTCTAGAATAGGTTTATTTTTTATTCTTGGCACCAATTTTTCACTGAAGTATGCGGAGAATATCACGGGAGATTGCAAAGACTTGACAGAGTAATTCACTAACATAAAACTAACCCCAGCTAAATACCAAGCGCCTTTTACGAGTCTCAGTCGAAAGTGCAGCAGTTAAAAATCGCTAGAATTTGCCATGTTAAAGTGGAAAGTTATTACTCCCATCTCTTTGCGATCTTCAGTAACAGCTTTGTCGGGAAAACATGCCACATTTTATTTAACAAGAGCTATCAGAAAAAATGCAATATCCGAAAGAATGTACTTTCTGGTCATAACATTGACCAACGATCCCACTTTTACAAGACGTTTTCATTTAACAAAGGCGGGTCCAGAGACAACTACTTCCAGCTAGCCCGCAGCATATACCCTGTCAATAATGTTTGCTTTTATACATACATTTTTTTCTCGGCTTTATGAAAACTGATCAAGTACTTAAATGTGATATTCATTAAATTTTACCAAATATAGATAACCAGTAAACCTCTTTATCCAAACAAAAAAGAAAAAGTAATTTGTATAACAATAGATGCACAATACATCACTACAAATCTATGATTCTGTTCAGTTAGATTGCTCCTAGCGTCGAGCCAATGGTGAATTATTCCAGTATTAACCCATCCATTAATAGAGGAAGAGTTCCCCAGAAATAGTACGAAACAAGTGCCACTCATCACCTGCCTTCCCCAACTTTCACCCGTTACTTCGACCTTAAGACCCTAACATAAAGGTCCAGTTCCTCAGAAAGATGGCAACAGAGCTGAAGTTGAAGTGGGCTGTTAGCGCGAGCAACATGCCCTGTGTTAACGTAATCCGCAGATGCTGCGTCGACTGCTCTATGTCAGCCAATACCGGTTTGTTTACTGACTTGTTTATTCTTCTTGTCTACGTGTGTCGGTATTTCATTTGTGTTAAGGTCGCTACATAGGTTACGCAATTATAAGCAATATTCCCCTTTGTACAACGACTAATTTTATTGGCATTTTCATGTTATTTAATAAATCAAATATTCTTCTAACTTGGAAAGGGATATCTAATCTAGGAAATCTCCTCAATGGCTGATGCGTTAACCTCCGTTTTTTCATTTGCATTTATTTCTTTTTGTTCTTATTGTGCATTCAAAAGAACCCTTCCAGCCAATCAAAAAAATCTGTTCCCGAGCAACTAAGTTCCCTCTTATATCAAGTCTTATTTGTACTTATTCCTTCTACTACCGACGTTTATAGAAACACAAGTGTTTTGCGTGCCAGTAGGCCTAGTAGTAGTTACAAGTGTGGAAGATCTAATGATTTACAAGTACGATATCAGAATTACAACATTACAGGTAGGCTACTCACGAGTAGGTATCATTGTTATGTCTGACAACATCGTCACAAAAATATCTCCATTCGATCTACATTTAGAATTATGTTCCTCTTTGTTAAAGAACATGACTTTCCTACGAGAAGCAGCACACGGGAAATACAATGCGAAGCGCATTTCGTGCTACACGTACTTCTATACAAGCTACTACAATGTAGTATCCGAAATCAAAGATCCACGGCTGTGGTTCTCTCACGCTAAAATCAGAGTAGTTTCTTCCGCGTATTGATGTTGATGCGGCGGTGGATGGTCACAGGAAGATATTTCTTAAATACCAGACGAATAATTTGAAGCCAGCTAACGCGCGTTTTGGAATACCTGTTTTCTGAAAGAAATTTGTGGCTTAATTAAGGGTTAGTGTGTAGACGGGGAGGAGGGGGGTCATGTTCAAAACTTACTTTCCCAGCAGCGGCGTTAAGCCTGCACAGGTATCTTAACACTAAATTACGTATTTGCAGTTTCTTGTAGTTCACGAATGAAAAAAAGACAACCAACATCAACAGTGTGGAGAAGTCAGTGAGCATCACCTCCAAGTTTTTTGGATTTTTTACCTCTTAACCCAGTCGATTCAACTGTTTGTGCTCATCTCGCTAACCTGATTTACCCATATCCCATCACCGGATTACCAGGAAAAACATTGGCGGGCGACGATTTCTATCCCGGGGGCCTCGACTGCATGATCTGCCCGGTTTATTTCTCTCTCTCTCGATATCCCGTGGTCCGGCGTCCCACTTTTTCAAACTATACCATAACTGACAATACCAAGTCTGCACCCCAATTTTTCATTTCTTGCTCTAAACTGAAAGTTGAGCGCAGTGAATTTTTTTTTTCTTTTTCATTTCTATTACTTTAGGCTTACAAGGACACAAGCAGATATATTTGAGTTTCGTGCATTTGAATAATGCCCAGGATGGGCACAGTTGTACACTGTATTTGATGTCAACAACCTGATAAAGTGACTGTTTCTTTTTATCCCGTATTGTAGATAATGTAGGCTAAATAACGAAGCAGAACAAGGAGAATAACCATCACCGACAAGTTAAGGTCCAATATCATTTCACAGGGGGTTTTACGCTATCTGTGACAAAATACAACAACTCCGTAGAACATACTGTAAAATGTCTCTCTTTCATCCTTTCTTTTTCTGTACAAAAGAAAATTTCACACTACTGCACATATCAGAGGCTAGAAAAAAAGAAACTTTTCAGTCAACCAGAAGCAGACAATTCAGAATTAGACAGCCAAAGACAGACAAATGCCAGATAGAAAATTATCTGTGTGTACGTCTGTCCTGAGTCTGAAGGGAAAGGGAGGGGGGGGGGTAATTGGCCATGAAACAAGAACTGGACATCTAAAATATTAACTGCCGGAAAACATATACCAGCGCCAGGTTTTCTGCTTATAAATACAAAGCAAGGTATATTCCAGGCATTTCTCGACCCAACTCCATTTGGAACAATCACAATAATGAAGACCACTTGAAAGTAGTTGGTCTTTCTGGAGGGATAGCCTCTTGGTGTATCGATAAAACATGCGGTGAATCGCCAAGGATATGGGGATTTTAACTTTTGGGGCATAGCATTACTGTACACCTTTAATTGCTGCATTGCCTGCTGCGTCCAAGCCCGTGAATGCGTCAACGATGCTATAAAATAAAATAGCCCTTCTCAAACAGTATCGGTACACGGCCGCTGTAATATATACCCGTTCACCAGATACAGTCTGATAATATTTTCGTTGACAATACGGACTCGAGGTACTTAAACCACGGTCAGGTGAAATACCTGCCACATCTTTCCGGAACTTTACATAAATACATGCGGCATATCTTGACCTCACGGCTGTGTAAATAGACAGAACCTGTACCCCCTCCCCCCTCTCCTCCTCTTCGCCTCAGTACCACGTGCACACACCAAACCTCAACAGAGTGGCCGGTCGAACGCTACTCACCGAGTTATTTCTCTTCCCTCTCCTCTTTGTTGGCTCAGGCTTGCTGTTCGTCTCCGGATAAAACTCCACCGCGTGAGGGGAATGTTTCTCCACCATCACGCGTGATCAAGTGGCGCTTGCGGGGACTCTCTCAGCTGGCGAACCCTACTCTACCGCACGTTCCAAGGAAAACATGCTTTGCTATAGAATAAGCACGAGTATTATGGTAGCCACTGTGCGGCGTTGTCTTAGTTTGACTGCTGGTAGGTTTTTCTTTCCTCTGCCAACTCGCGATAGTTCAGCTTGTGATGGTCAAGCACAAACTACTATCCCTGTGTCTGACTCTTGCAGGTTTTCGTTCGTTAATAAACTGAAAAGTGGAGATGAATCTTGCTGCGATACAGGAGGAGGGGCTGCGCGATCTCATCTCACTCCACTGAACGCTTTTATTATACGAGCAACGGGCTGTCAGAGTGTTTACTGACAACTTTCTCCCAGCCTGTTCGTTTCATTGGTTGGGCTTGAGCCTTGCTTCGGGTGGTCCACTTTTACTTAGGGGAGAGCCAGGGGATAAACGTTGTAAACATCCGATATCGGCAATTTGTTTTATAATACTGATACAGATTTCTCTCAGTTTTTCAGCTGTGACACATTACCTGTGATTTGATTAAAGACACGGTAAAGAAAAAAGATAGGCCAACACCTTCAATGGCAATAATAAATATATGATTAGATCATAAAATACATGAACTGAAAGCACTATTGTTTTTTAGCTCCGATTTTATCCGCACTTTGGCAAACCAACATCAACATAGGTTGCAAAGAGCCTGGCAGTGTGGTCAGTGCCAGAGGGGCCTTTCCACAGTTTTAGTCTTTGAAAACAGGCCCAGCTTAGATAATACCTGTACTGCTGCTTGACAGGTGGAGAAATATACCTGCCGCAAACCCCGACCACTGAAGGCGAAACTTCTAGTGAAATCGATTGCGGATTAGTCGGGGTTTATCGAGGACCCTCCTAAGCCAAGTAGCGGCGGAAGGGAGGGATTAGAGCCCCCGAAACAAGACATCTCCCTGCGCGTTCCTTTCCCATTATCAAACACCATGTTGAAGGCAGGGCTTCCTTTCACTTGTCAACAGAAATCCGGAGTAAAGAGTTTCTTCCTTCTACAGATGCCGAAGTCCAGCTGTCACGTGACCAACATGAAAAATTCTTCAAGTTAAAGGAATGCAGGTTATTTCTATGTAATCCTACACTATTGTTTAAATTCAGTTCTATATCAGCTCCCTGTGCTTTTTTTGGGAGTTCTACCTCACATCCTACTTAATGTACAGATAATATTTTATTCTATTCGTTTTTTTAGTTTTCTTTTTACACCTAACTCAGTTTCCCAATCGTCAATATTTTCTGCAATCACGTGACTTAAAAACAATAGAATATCACAACATGCAGCAATACAAGAAATAATATTCTAAATCAACCGCCATCTAGTTAACTTTATAAACTGATTAAATGCCGTAATGATGGCAATGTTTAAAAGCAACCTTGGTGAAAATCATATCTGTGTAAATTTGTTTAAATTGTGTTTGTAGTTTTAGTGCAGTAGTCAAAGTATATATCCTTAGTCATTGTAAAAACGTATTCGAACAGAAATAAAACATGAAAAGTGGAAATAAAATATATCAAATAAGGTATAAAAAATGCTATATGAGATACGAGATATGTGATAACTCATCATACCAAACGCGTTTTCCGTCAAAATGAGGAAGTTCGGGTACATTTTTTTTTTTTTTTTGTAATTTATTTTTAACCAGAATACATGGTGTTTTTATTCATTCATTTTACTTTCAACGGAAATAAAAAACGAAGATGACAATGCCGGCGAATTTGGATTCAATGTTAGAGAGCCACTTTGAAAAAAAGTAAAGTATTGTCCTTCATAATAAGAAATCTACTTATAAAATAGCATCATTTTTAGGAGATATTTTATTAATAGAATGGACAGTTTTCAAACTACCCGTTTTACGCTTCACAACATTTCAGAAAATGGACCCATTAGCTGTCAATATATCGACTATTCCGAGGATTCAGTGAATGCGACATCAAGCAGGTAAACGGGGAGCATGGACATACAAGGCACAGGCAGCTTTCTCTAGCATGTGTACACTGTCCTACTACATTGAGTAGTTCTCCTAACCCTTTGTTACAACAAGCCAAAACCGAGGTCTTATGATATCAAACATTTCTCAACAATGCTGTAGTGAGTTTTAGGGCTGTCCGTGTTTGTATTGACTTGCTTAAGTCCGGATTACAAGACGCGAGCAAGCAGAGAATCAATACCCCGGACTACTGTGAACAGTTTACCCTCTTCAGCGGGTTTTAGTGGAAGAATTGTGAAGTAGATCGAATGCTGTCAAGACATACTACTGTAGAGCAACAGCCCTCTTCAGCGAAGGCCAAGTGGAGTTCGATTTAGCTGGTTGAAATGTACCAAGCGTTTCCCAGAAACACTGAAGTGAAGCGTTCGCCCTCTTTAAAGACGTTTAAACGAAAGACCAGGATAAGCCCGTGAAGATGTTATCAGATTTATTTAAAGAAAAAAAGACGCAACTACAGAATTTACCCTCTTTAGAAAGGTCTAAGTGGAGTTCCAAAAAGGACAAAGTGGACGTCCACAGATTTACATGAAAACTAATATGAGTGTTTGGCACTGTTTCTATCTGTAAAAATTACGGCCTTGGCAATATACCATAAACCCATGCAGTGATTTCTACCTTGCCTAAACACATTCGAAAGAAAAAGAAACGCTCTTAATATAATCTTACATCAGTAATAGTAAACAAAAAGAACGGATCCATTGAACAAGAAGTGTCAATAAATTTAAATGCATATATGATTATTTACAGAATTATCAAAAGAAAGCAGTTCAATAATTGGAAAATGATAAAAAAATGAATGTCATAAATGCGCCTTTAAATTAGGCTTCGAGTGCTTGTAATGACTTTTGCAGTACATGGAATTTTTCATATTCCTTTATGTCATTTTTTATCTCATCTATTTTTTCATTTTAATAATTTTCATGATAATCACATTGCCACCAAATCTTGCTCTTTCAATTATAAAAAATGTGCTCAATAATATTTTATGACCACATTTCAACTTCGACTAACGATAACTTATTTGAAAGACGCTTATTATAGATACAAAAACTTTTCACATCATTTTCAGTTACAAGGCTTTTCTTGGGGATACAGCATCATTGGATAACCTTCTGTGCAAAATATTCAGCATAGAGAAGTTTGGGTTAAACGTTTTATTTGTATCACGAAGGTTTGAATGGACAAATATTTGAACGGTTAATAGGGTTTGAGAAATAGCTTTGTTAAAAAAAATACCCATTCACATTGACAAATATTTTCAGCATACGTGCGAAGATCATGGTAAACCGCTATCTGTTCGTATGGACTTATGACGCGCCAAGGACCATATACAATTTACCCACAAAAATGTGTGAAGAAATATAAAACGTCAGGATGGTGAGATGCCATACTAAAGTAAATAAATAAAGAGAAGTTTTTATTGCAGCTTATGCGATGTATATCAGAGTTATCTGGCGACAATGGACATCATTGATATAAATACTGTTCATTACATAACTATAAAGTAATATGAAATAATAATTTGTAATAGGAAATCTAAAATCTATAGCAGTGCAAATAACTGATTTAATGAAAATGGATTAATCAACCTCATTAGGTTCTTAGTGAATAATAGATATAAGAAAGCGCACTATACTACGTGTTACTATGATGGTGGTAAGTTATCTGTTGCTATATAATAGATAATTTTACAACACTAAGTGACTTTTTCCTATGGTGGCATGATCCTTTTATGTAATTTTACAACACTAAGTGACTTTTTCCTATGGTGGCATGATCCTTTTATGTAATTTTACAACACTAAGTGACTTTNATGCATTGGTTGTTTATCCGAGGTTGTTTTTATCATTTATTTCACTATTTGAATACGCCCATCTTTTTTATATAAAATTCTGTGTAAACTCAGTCATGTAGCGGTCTATCTGGATACTTCTTCACAAGTACTTGTCTCATAATTACCGTTAAAAGAAGATATAAAGGATTTTTCCCTGAAAAAAAAAATCTCAACTTGAAGGTGTGAGGTGCCATTATAGCTAGATCTATTTTCTTAAGTGGAATGACGACGCTGTACAAAGCGTTCCCCTTGATATATATTGTTTGAAGTCGGGAAATTTTAAAGTGGAGTACTTTCTCTGGGTCTTGCTGCCTCTACTCGAGAAGGCAGCGGAACAGTCTTGTATACCCGCCACACCGCGCGGCGGGGCTTTAAACGCGCACAGCTTAAAACAATTATCCTAAGATTTGTTTAAGCAATAGTAGACACAAAGAAAATATTTATCTTTTATTTATTTTGGCCCGTTGACATCTAGCGTTTACCTGAAGGTCGGGCTGTTAGAGAAGCCAAGATAAACGGACAGGAAAGGGCGACCACTGGGAATCGGGCGGAGATGCAACCATTGCCTCGGGTTGCTGGCGGTTCTTACAGACCACGTTGTATTTTTTCTACCTTTTTTTAAACTGTCCTATCAGTGAAATCTGGTACATTATCACATATCCTCAACTCCTTTTTTAGTTTTTGTCGAATAACCACTTTCAAAGCCTTGTCCACTATTATTGATAATAATGCTAATATTAGCGGTCAGCTGTTGGAGCGGTCATTGCCGTGTCCAGGAACAATTTCTAAGGTCACAGTGCTGCGATTAGCGTTCTTGATCCGGGCGACCTGGGTCCTCAACTCTGGGGCTATTATCATTAGATACATATACATTCCGAGTAGAGGTAGTAAGTGCATCTTTATGGATTGCTATAGATCTTGAACCTAATGTGGTTCTAAAAAAAGCAAGAGCTTAATCAGCAGTGTGTTAATTTTTAATGATCAAAATTGGCCGTATGGATTGTTCACTTTGAGCAATCAAACGAGAGAGAGAGCAGTAAGATATTTCGACGATAAAACAATTGTTATATCCGTCATTTCAAACAATAAAGTGGAAAAAGTGATGAGATAAAAAAAAAGAAAAGAATTTATCCGGGCAAATGCTAACACCAAGGTGTCAGAAAGCTCAGGTCAAGAGAGAGAAAAAAAAATAAGAAAAAACTGGCCCGGTTTTCAAAAGACGTTAGCGTCTGTGTTGACGTTGTTTTGACACGAGAAACCCGAGCCGTCTTTCTGGTTGCTGTTCCCCAGCATGCTGCCGTTTACCCACACCCTACCTCTCGCGGTTTCCCTATATTCTCACCACTTCTTTCGAGATTGTCCAAACGTGTTTTTTTACCGTATTCTCTCATCAGGTCGGGAAACGAGATAATAATATAATTTCGGGCACAGTGGTTGGATCAGTAAATTCAGTATCAACTTAGAGCTGATGTATTATTCTTTGTTTAAGGCTGAATCTGGGTGGCTTGGTCGGAGATCGGAAAGCCTGAATTATTTTGTTTTGATTCATTTCCAGGTCACCGTCCGTCCATTTTGTCTTTATTAAAGTGAATCCATACTAAATTTTTTAACTGAGAACGTCGCGTGTGTTTAACCTTTAAGAGAAAATTAAAATATCTTTATTTAAAGGTACGAAGAAAGCCAGGTAGAAAGAGATACCAGATTTCATGACGTCAATATCGGGTGTGGAATTAGAATAAGAGATCGAAAGCCCGTTGAGGCTATTGCAGAGAATTTTTATCTCAAAGATAAAAGAATTCATATGGGAATGAAAATGACATATCGATATCCCGTTATAGCTATTTTCAGGATATACCTTTTTCCTCATCCAAGATAGAAAGTATTCTTTCTGAAAACTGATAAAGAAAAATCCTGAATATTAAAGAGTAAATATGGTAATG